ATCAGCCATAAACGGATCTTTTTGAATTCCACGTCTACTTAGACAAGGGAAACAAAAGAAAAAATAAACAAGTGGGACTTCATCATATTAAAGAGCTTCTACAAGGCAAATGAAACCAGGATCAAAATGAATAGGGAACCCACCAGCTGGGAAAAAATATTTGCAAACCATATATCTGACAAGGGATTAATCTCCATAATATATAAAGAATCACACAACTGAATAACAAAAAAACAACCCAATCAAAAAATGGGCAGAGGAAATTTTACCAGCCACATGCCTGCCCATTGAATTTAAATAAAGGGAAGATTGTATGGGCACAAGGGTTGGATTTCTTCAAAGGTGTTTAGGGAGAAAGTTTAAAAGAAAGTCTTAAAGGCAAATGTATATGAGATAACTGATTGTCTTTAATTGTCTTTTTTTTTGTCCTAGTTACAAATCTGGAAATATATATGAAGGTCAGTGGGAAAACAATATGCGCCATGGGCAAGGCAGGATGAGATGGCTGACAACTAGTGAAGAGTACACCGGTCAGTGGGAGAGGGGGGTCCAGGTACTGCGCCCGCTGGTTTTAGCAGAATATACCCAAGGGTGGACCTCCGCTGACCCTCGGCACATGCGTTATTTGGTATGGTATCGTATGGTAATCTGAAATGCAATCTCTGCTAAATTTAGGAACTCAAATTACGATTTACTGGTCTAAAGCAGCCTTTTTTAGTGCTGTTTTATTATTTGATGTTCTCTAAAGGTCTCACACACAAGCTAGGTTCTGCCATTGGCAAATCCATAATTCACATGACTGAGACTATTGTTTACACTTTAGAAGCTGTGTATTTCCTGCACAGGAAAGATAAGCTTTATATGATTAATTTTATATAGTTTATATAGCTAGGATTTTCTGATTATTTCTTGTTTATTAATCTGGTAATCAGGGACTTTGCTAAACTCACATAATAGTTCTAGTCACTTCTTTGTAGATTCTTTGGGATTCTTTTTTTCTTGGCTCAGGAAGATTCGCCCTAGCTGACATCTGTTGCCAATCTTCCTCTTTTTGCTTGAGGAAGATTTGCCCTAAGCTAACATCCATACCAATCTTCCTCTATTTTGTGTGTGGGTCCCCACCACAGCATGGCCGCTGACAAGTGGTGTAGGTCCCTGCCCAGGAACTGAACCCGGGCCGCCAAAGTGGAGCACCCTGAACTTAACCACTAGGCCATGGGGCTGGTTGGCCCCCTGGGATTTTTTATATAGACAGTCGTATTATCTGCAAATACAGTCAACTTTATATCTTTCGTTCTAATCTGTGTGCCATTTTTTTCTCTTGCCTATTGCACTGGCTAAGACCTCCAGTGTGATATTGAATGGGAGCGGAGAGAGTGGACATCCTTGCATTGTTCCTGATCTTAATGGGAAAGAATTCAGTCTTTTATCAAGTGTGATGTCAGCTGTAGGTTTTTCATAGATGCCCTTTATCAGGTTGAGGAAGCTTTCTTTAATGCTTACTTTTCTTACAGTTTTTATCATGAACGGATGTTGAATTTTGTCTAATGCTTTTTCTGCCTCTAGTCAGATGATCGTGTAGTTTTTCTTCTCTAGTCTGTTGATATGTTGAATTACACTGATTGATTTTCAACTGTTGAACCAACCTTGCATTCCTGGGATAAACCTCACTTGGTTATCCTTTTTATATCTTGCTGGATTCAATTTCCTAATACTTTGTTGAGAATTTTTGTGTTCTTATTCATGAGGGATATTGATCTATAGCATTGTTTCCTTATGGTATCTTTGTCAGCTTTTAGTAATCAGGGTAATGTTGGCCTCACAAAATGAGTTGGGAAGTGTTTTTTGCTCTTCAATATTCTGGAAGAGTCTGTAAAATTGGTAGTATCTCTTCCTTAGCCATTTAGTTGAATCTGCCAGTGAAGCCTTCTGGGCCTGGAGTTGTCTTTGTGGGAAGATTAACTATAAACTAACTATGAAATCAATTTCTTTAGTAAATAATGTGCTGTTCAGCTTATCTATTTCTTCTTGAGTAAGCTTTGAAAGTTTGTGTTATTGAAGGAATTTGTCCATTTTATAGAAATTGTTAAATTTATTGACATAGAGTTGTTTACAATATTCCCTTATTATGCTTTTAATATATATATAGGATCTTTAGTAATAGTCCCTCTTTCTTCTGATATTAATTTGTGTTTTCTCTCTTTTTCCTTCATCAGTCTTGCTAGAAGTGTATCAATTTCATTAAAATTCTTAAAAAGCCAGTTTTAGTTTTATTTGCTTTCTCTGATGTTTTTCAGTTTTCAATTTTATTGATATCTGCTCTTTGTTATTACCTTCCTTCTGTATGCTTTGGGTTTAGTTTGCTCTTTTCCTAGAGTTGTAAGATGGAAGCTTTACTGATTTGAGACATTTCTTCTTTTCTAATATAAGCATTTATTACTATAATTTTTCCTCTTAGCACTGCTTTATCTGTATCCCATTAATTTTGATATATTATGTTTTAATTTTTGTTCAGTTTCAAAATATTTTCTAATTTCCTCATGGCTTCCTCTTTGGCCTATAAATTATTTTGAAGTATGTTGTTTAATTTCCAAATATTTGGGGATTTTTCTGGATATCTTTCTACTGTCTGATTTTTTTTTTTTTGGTTTTGTTTAATTCCACTGTGGTCAGAGAACGTACTTTGTATGACTGCATTTCTTTTAATTATGTTGAGGTTTATTTTATGGCCCAGAATATGTCTATCTTGGTGAATGTCACATGTATTTCTGCTTTTGTTGAGTGGAGTGTTCTGTAGATGTCAATTAGATCAAGATGGTTGATAGTGTTGTTCAGGTCTTCTGTAGTATTACTGGTTATCTGTTTACTTTTTCTATCCATTTGTGAGAGAAAAGTGTTGAATTGTCCAAGTATAATTGTAGATTCGTCTATTTCTCCTTTCAGATCTATCAGTTTTTACTTCATATGTTTTGAAACTCTAGTGTTAGGTATATATACATTTAGGATTGTTATATCTTGTTGGTGAATTGATCCTTTTTATCATTATGTAATGTCCCTCTTTAACCCTGGTATTTTTTTTTCCTCTGAAGTGTACTTTTTCTGATATGAATATAGCCACTCCAGCTTTCTTTTTTATTTTTAATTTTAATTGTGGAAAAATACACCTAACATAAAATTTACCATCTTCACCATTTTTAAGTGTACAGTTCAGTGTTGAGTACATTCACACTGTTGTGCAGCCATCACCACCAACTGTCCACAGAACTCTTTTCATCTTGAAAACTGAAACTCTGTCGCCATTAAACACTAACTCCCTATTCCATCTCCCCCAGCTCCTGGCAACCACCCTTCTACTTTCTGGCTCTATGAGTTTGACTTTGTCAGGTACCTCATATAAGTGGAATCATATAATATTGTCCTATTGTGACTGACTTATTTCACTTAGCATAATGTCTTCAAGGTTCATCCATCTTATAGCATGTGTCAGAATTTCTTTCCTTTTAAAGGCTGAATTATATTCCATGGTATGTTTATACCACGTTTTGTTCATCCATTCATTTTCAATGGACACCTGGGTTGCTTCCACCTTTTGGTTGTTGCGAATAACACTGCTGTGAACATGGTGTACAGATATTTGTTCAATTGCCTGCTTTCAATTCTTTTTGGTGTATACCCAGAAGTTGCAGAATGTTATATATAGAATCATCCCATTGTTGAAAAAATTGTGTATGGGTTTATATGTCCATATAATATGTTGATTTAGCATGTATGATTGTTTGTGCCTGGGGAAAACAGACTGGAATTCTCAAACCCAAGTAGTAGTTAATTCTGGAAAGTGGGATTGAGGAGGGGGTATTTTTATCAATCTGTAAATAAAATTTAAAATCATAATTAAAATAATCAGTATCAAGCCAGGTGCTCTGTATACACTATCTTCAATCTTTACATCTATCCTGTAGGGTAGATGTTATTTCCATTTTACAGGTGAAATCCAGAGGGCTTAAATAATTTGCCTTAGGTCAAAAGGCTGGTTAGTAAATAGCTGAGCTGAGCTGAAACCCAAGTCTGTGTGACTCCAAAGTCTGTGTTCTTTGTCCCTTCAAATGAGCCATTGTATTTGATCCATACCTAATTTAAATGGATTCAGGTAAAAAGAGGAAGTATTTTGAACATTTCTTATGGAAATTTGCTTTCTTTTCAGAATGGCTTTGGGACACACACATGGTTTCTAAAGAGAATCCTCAAGTCCCAGTATCCTTTGAGAAATGAATACGTAGGAGAGTTTGTAAATGGAGATCGCCATGGCCGTGGAAAGTTTTACTATGCCAGTGGAGCCGTGTATGAGGGAGAGTGGGTTTCCAATAAAAAACATGGCATGGTGAGTACAGACCTGTGAAGATTACATTTTAAAGATTATATAAAGCAATTGAAATACAGTAGAAGGCATGTCATTCTCTGTCTAGTAAAGTGAATTATCCATTTTGCATAGGATAACTGTTTTGTTAAGATGATTACATGAGTTTTAAAATAATTTCCAACATATCATCAATTTCCTGTATATTTAGAGGTTATTTAATTAGTTTGTGTTACGTGTATGTGTGTGTGTTAAGGTGGTTTTGGTTGCAAGTAACAGAAAATCAAGCTTAATCTTCCATAAATGATAATAATATGGGCTTCAGGGTTGGTTTGATTCAGCAACTTAGTGACATCAGGATTTCTCCTGTCTCTATCCATGATGTCTCCTACCATGTCTGCTTTACCCTTATGCTGCCTCTACCTCATGATTACAGGATGGCTGCTGTGGTTCCAGGCTTCACATCCACATACCTCACTAAGTAGAAGGGGAGAAGCAACTCTCTCTTTTTTTTTTTTTTAAAGACTTTTTTTGTGTGTGTGTGTGAGGAAGATCAGCCCTGAGCTAACATCCATGCTAATCCTCCTCTTTTTGCTGAGGAAGACCGGCTCTGAG